GCGGTTGGCGCAGGATAGGGCAGGGTTTAGAGCTGTTGTGCATAGGGTCGCTATGAGTCGGAAACGACTCGATGGCACATAACAACAACAACAACAGCATTAATTACAATGAGTCATCAGACTGTTGTTAGGAGAGGCCAGGCTTTAGAGAAAGACATCGTGCTTGGAACAGTGGAGGGTCAGCAAAGAGAGGAAGACCTCAACGAAATGTATTGACACAGTAACTACAACAATGCCACAGTGTAGGTTCAGATCCAGTGTTCATAAGGTTGCTGTGAGTCCTATTCAACTTATGGCACCTGAAAACAAGAACACAAAACCAACATAATAGGATATAAATAATTTTTGCAATGATTTTAGTCTAAGTGTCTAATATTTATGCAATTAACATGATTTACTCAAAGAAAAATTAGAGGTTTATAAATGTGGTACGACATAATACCATTGATTAATGTTTCCTTTAGTATAAGAATGGTAAATATAAATTATCTCATCTGAAAATATTTTTACTTTTTGATTATTTATTTCTCATGAAATAATTCTTTAAAAAAATTGTGATCTGAGTTATAATCCACAAAGTAAGTTGGTTTTCCATTCATTCATGTCCTTGAGTTGAGTATGATTCATAGCAACTGTGCCCTGTGCCTACCTTACAATCTCTGACACACTTAAGCTCATTGGTACACTCACTGTGTCAATTCACCTAGTTGAGAGTTTTCTTCTACCATCCTTCCACCTTTCCCAGCATGATATCCTTCTCCAAGGAACAGCCTTTCATAGCAATATGCCTAGTATGTGAGACAAAGCTTTGCCATCCTTGATTCAAAGGAGCAATCTGGCTTCACCTTTTCCAAGATGTATCTATTTGTTCTTTTGGCAGTCCATAGGATATTCAGTACTCTTCTCCAACATCATAGTTCAAAGACATTCATTTTTCTTCTGTCGTCCTTATTCATTGTCCAGCTCTCAGAAGAATAGCAAGTGATTAAAAAGACCATAGTCTGTATCAGGTGCATCTTAGTCCTCAAATTATGCCATTGCTCCTTAGCAATTTTTTTTCCTCCTAAGTAATTTGAAAGTGTCCCTGACTACAGATTTCCCCAGTGCAATATGTCTCCTGATCTTCTGATGTCTGGTAATAAATGTATTGATTGTGGATCTAAGTAAGATGAAGTTGTTGACAGTTTCAGTCTTTTCTCCATCTATAATAATGTCATTGAGGGGTCCAGTGGTTAGAATTTTTGTTTTCTTGATATTGAGATACAATCCATATTAAAGGCTTCAGTGTTTGACCTTCTGCAGCAAGTCATTCATAGCCACTTTGTTTTAAGATACTGTAATATTTTTAGTATAACTGCATTTACCCCGTCTCTTCCCTGTGATTTTTGTTTCAATGATCCCTCTATTCCACTACTTTTTGCCTTCTGAGTTTTATCCCTGGGAAAATATTGTTATTTTGATGTTGGGGAGTTTGTTGTTCTAAGGACTGAGTGCCTGTCTGGTGTTATGGAGCTTACCTTTCATTATGACTTTTCTAGCGTTGCTTGAATGTGGATGACTGGCCACGTGAATGAGCAGGACTATGTGAATGGGGCATGCTGGCCTATCCACAAAGAAACTGGCTAGCTGCTATTCCACAAAAGGAGTGGCCAGTCTCAACAGTCTACAAGAGGATTAACTACTCTTTTCAATAATTTGGCCAACACTAGCTGCAGAGATGGGATTTTTCCCTTGTGAGTAGAGGGGAAAGAGATCTTTCCCACTCTGGTAAAAAAGAAGTAATAAAATGAAGAACACATTTTAAGACAACAG